AAAACCAAACCAAAAATTAAGTACATAAAAGCGAGAGGAGGCAAAAATGAGGGATACCATCTTAAGTTTTGTTCACTGTGTAGCTGATAAAAGTGATGCTTTGGAAAGCCTGGTCTTCGGGAGATGACTGGAGTGGGGAGGAGAGAGGTGGCAGGGTAGGGGTTAGCAGGTTAGTAGAGGGCTTGATAATGGCAGGCTGCTTGCTCCTCCACTGCTGTGCAGCCCACTACTTCATGGAGGGTAAAGTGGCGCCGGTTGATTTTTGGAAGTAGGTGGGGTATCAGTAGGCAATGAGGAAGGGAAGGTGCCTCCTCTTGCTGTTGGTGAGGCTTACCAGGTTGATGGGTCTGGGGGAAAGCAGGTGGGAAATATCCTGCACTGGCCTACATCTCATGGATCGGACCTGGAAATGGGGGCACCGGTTCCTGGCTGTACTCCTGGCTGTACCTTCCAGTGCTCTGGGGGCCCACACTGGCAGCCCCACCAGGGCGGGAGCCAACTTCATTCACTCACCTGCTCAACTTCATTTTCTCTCTTCCCAGTTCTATTTATTTCAAAGAATGCATGTCTTTGACTCATAGACACATTTGGGTTGGATTAATGGACTGGAAACAGTGATTTCTAAATGGTTTCTGTTTCATTAGGCTTCTAGCCTGCTTTGGAAATAAAGCTTCTGCCAAGATGAGATTAGCGGAGAAGTGATTTGGGTATAATCAGCTGCTGCTTTCTGATCTTGTGGTACGACATGTTTTGGGATGGGCATTTTGCATTTAGTCATTAATCTCCAGAACAAATCCGGGAGTGGCTACTCTGCACCCAGGTACTCTCCTAGGTACTGGGGTGTATTAGGGGCAAACGGACCACAGATCTTAACCCTCATGGAGCTCATTCTACCATGTATTCATTGATAAACAGTATTGGAGTGTTGTGCTGTTGACTCTGTTAGGACAGGACAGGACAGAATGCCTGTGGGTTGCTGTCTTTAGGGGAACAGATCCGAGGCCTCTCTTTTCCAACCACTGACCCTCAGTTAGCAGCATTGTGCTACCGGGATTCCTTCGATAGACAATGAAAACCCAAGCCAGACCCACTGCCATTGAGTAGATCTCCACTCATACCGACCCTCTATCTAGACCAGTGGTTCTCAACTTTCCTAATGCCACCACCCTTTAATACTGTTCCTCATATTGTAGTGACCCCCAACCATAAAATTGTTTTTGTTGCTCCTTCATCACTGTAATTTTGCTACTGTTGTGAATCGGGTGACCCCTGTGAAAGGGTCGTTCGACCCCCAGTTTGAGAACCATTGCTATAGACCAGGCGTCCTCAAACTACGGCCCGCGGGCCACATGTGGCCCACAGAGGACATTTATCCGGCCCACCGGGTGTTTTTGCCTCGTTTGTTTTTTTACTTCAATAAGATGTGCAGTGTGCATAGGAATTTGTTCATAGTTTTTCTTTAAATTATAGTCTGGCCCTTCAGCAAGTCTGAGGGACAGTGAACTGGCCCCCTGTTTAAAAAGTTTGAGAACCCTGCTGTAGACTGAGCAGAACTGCTCCGTTGGGTTTCTGAGGCTATCAGTCTTTACGAGAGCAGGCAGCCTAGTCATTCTCCCCAGCAGTGATGGCTGGGTTTGAACCTCCAACCTTGCAGTTAACCATCCAATGCTTGGCCAGCAGTAAATGAGCAAGTAAAACTACAAAGAATGAGAGATGGTGACACAATTATGGTGAACAATACAGCAGTGCTGGAGGGTAGGGGTTTCTGTGGGAGACAGATTTTCTATTTATGTGCAAGAGTTCAAAGAAGTCACACTGACTTTTTTTTTTGAGTCATGACCCGAGGAAGGTGAGGAGGCCACGGGGATACCCAAGGGAAGTGCCGTTGGGGTTGAGAGAAGGGTACCACAGCCAGGAAACCAAAGTGGTGGGAACAGGAGTGGGGGGGCAGGGGCGGAGAAGAGAACCACAGTAGGTGGGCTCATAGAGAAGGGGAGGGTAGACTGGCACAGATTTTCCCGGCTTGTTAAGTCCTGGTTAGGACTTGAACTTTATCTACGAATGGGATTTGGAATGCCATGGCAACTGTGCCGAGGTCTAAGGGAATTGGATGTTCCTTCTGGAAGGGCTGCTGGCCTATCGGTGGTTGAGGCAGCTGGACTCTGCAGTGACTCTGCTAAGCCTGGGCACTGAATCAGACCTTTCCCAGGCCAGCTGCTCTGATGCCGACTCATGGTGACCCTACAGGACAGGTTAGACCTGTCCCTGTGGGTCCCGAGATTGTAACTCTATGGGAGCAGACAGCCTCATCTTTCTCCCTTGGAGCAGCCAGTGGGTTCCAACTGCTGACCTCATGGTCTATGCCAGGAGATCTCTATGGAATCCACTTGATGGCAAAGAGGTTCCCCCCACCCCTTGGTAAACTTGGGCATAGGTGGTTTTAAAAACCCTTAGGTGTTTCTGGTGTGCATCCAGCATTGAGATGATTGTTAACTCATCTCATGATGATTAAATGCATCTGATACCTGGTACTCGATTGAGAGAGTTGAACTGGAGCTGTAAGCTCTGATGGCCTTGCTAGAAAGAATCACAGTGATTTTCCATGAGGATCAGAAGCTCTTCTTGGAGGATGTACTTTATCGCCTTTGGTCCTATCACCCTTCTGGCTCTCAGGTCCTTGGTAAGAGCTAGAGGGCGACATGTTCTGGTCGTCCAGAGGCTCTGCCGCTCTGACATTCCTTCTTCCTGCTGGTGTGGAGGAGCCTCTAATCTAGAGCAATGGTGTCTAATCTTGGTCTTATAACACTCTAGGGCAGCGGTTCTCAACTTGTGGGTCACAACCCCCCTGGGGGTCGCCCGATTCATAACAGTAGCAAAATTACAGCTATGCGGTAGCAATGAAAATATTATTATGGTTGGGGTCGCAGCATTCGGAAGTTGAGAACCACTGCAAGGGTATGCCATAATTATGGCAAGGGTACATTCATTCAAGGATTCAACACTAAATTGAAAGAAAATTGGTGCCACTTACAGTAGCACCTTGGGAAGGTGAGGGTGTTGTGAGGAGAGAAATCTGGCCTCCCGGCCCAGAGTTCCTGAGTGGAAGGGCTGCCTGGCCTTGGGAGGCATGCTAGCCCTGGCTCCACTGCCACTCCTTGGCAAGTTCCTTGTGAGGGGGGATTTGGGTTTCCAGAGAGCTCTGTGTAAATACAAACAGAAGCATGAGTGTGGCGGTCGAGGGACTTGGAGGAGGCAGCTGACATCGGACAGTGAAGCTTGATGGGAGAGTTTCTTATCCCGTCTCTGCTACCAGGCTGTTACTGGCATGGGGCCCAGTCCCCAAAATAACAACCCAGGGTCTGGATGCACTGAGGCCGACCTAGAATAAATAAACAGGTACATGCACTGGTGTACCTCAGAGCTTACTTACCATTGACCCCCGCCTGCCCCCAGCCCTTGATTTTTGCCCCCAATTGGTAGTTTGTTTTGAACTGTGGAGGTCCAATAAGAGAGAAAGGAAAAAACTTTTCATTTTTTTTTCTACCATCTGCTATCTCCTTTCTGTAGAATTGGGTTAATGGGGCTTGGAAATGAGCTGGGAAAGGTAGTGCGGAACCTTCCTTTCCCTGTGTCCATTCAGATTGTCTTCCCCTCTGTTTCGGAGTCCCGAGGAATGCTGGTGGTCAGAGTGAAGACCTAAATGAAGTCAAGTGAGGAAGTGCAGGATCATCAGGAGAACGGGGCGCTTTGGAACTCCCAGGGAGAAGGCTTTTTAACCCCAGCATTTGTAGGTGCATCTAGCCGGTCACTATTCCTCAGGCTCCAGCTGCAGTGAGGATCGTGTCTGTGAGCTTTTCGCATTTTTAACACTTGTTCGGGGTCTGTCCTTTCCCTGCCTCTTCCCCAGCTTGCGGCTTTCCCCTGGTCCTCTGCTCCTCAATCCCAGCAGGCCCCCGAGCCCCTGAGGATGAGCTGTGGTGGTGGGAGTGGGGGTTCCCCTTACCTGGACCCTCTGTCTACCCTGTGTGCTTCTAGCCAGCCTGACAGTTAGCAATTTGGCAATCCGCCGAGGTTTCTGACCCGGGAAGTTAATGGCATAAAATGTATTTGCTATGTACCAGGTCCTCTTGTAAGAGCTTTCCAAATACAGAAAGTCTCCAGGTTATGAGCGTTCAACTCATGGACAGGTCGTACTTGCCCTTTACTATGTTTATTTGCCCTCACAACAAATTCATTCTCACAGTCACCCGCACTTGCTGCACATGTAGCTTATGAGCCATTGAAAAGCTTCGAGTCTTTTCTTACCCCAAAGTACGGTTAAATAAAACCCAATGTGCCTGTCTGCTTTACTTCCAGATTAGATTTAAAGACACTTAAGGACAGATCTCATTCATAATCCAGTGACTGCCTGTTTTAGTTATTTTATAACAGTCCGAGGATCTCTCGTGGCATCATGAATTATGCATTGAGCTGCTAACCACAAGGTTCACGGTTGGAACCCACTGGTTGCTCCATGAGAGGAAGATGAGGCTTTCTGTGCCTATAAAGACGTAAACTCAGAAACCAAACCCACAGGGGCAGTTCCACCCTGTCCTGCAGGGTCACTCTGAGTCCAGATCGACTCAGTGGCAGTGGGCTTGGTTGGTTGTAATAGGCCTGTTTTCGATTATAGGGAGACGTAGAAGGGGAACCCCATACCCAAGGCTCCATGGCTAATACGTAGTAGTAATGGGATCTGCAGGTAGTCTGTGCTCGGAATCACTGCACTAGGATGGGGGGCGGGGGTGGGGGAGGAGAGGGAAGGCAGAGGGTTGGGGAAGTTTTGTTTTTGGCGACAGTTGAGGCCTACTTTGAATTTAAGTTTAGAGCCCTCCCCCGCCCCTGCCCCGCCTCAGGGTCTAACTGGGGCTTGGATAATGATGGCTTCTTAACTCTCTTTCCTTAGTTTAACATTTACCTTCAGATCCATTTAAAGATTTTCCCCCTTTCCTTAGGTGGCGTGTGGAAACTAGACCATGTGCCTGGGTAGAAGTTTCTCCTCCCTCCGCAGCTCTGCACCCCCAGCAATGCTTACCACGTCCTTGTTTTGAGAACCTCGCTTAAGGTATGATGTCTATTCTGACCTGAGCTGGCCTTCAGGGGCTGAGAGTTTGGCCAGAAGTGATTCTTTTCTTATCTTATTTATTTAATTGGGCCCAGTGACCCCTATTGTGTTTCAGTGTACACACGTGGCGAAGGTACAAAACCCCCTTGTGTTGCTCACGTAACCTATGCCTCCCAGCTATCTTTCTCCTGCCCTGGGTTATTTTGAGGCAAATCCCAGACATCACATCATGTTATCTGTAGACATTCCACTGTAGTAGAAGGCCACATAGGGAAGTTCCTTTGGACACGATATTCAGTACTGTTCACTTGGCTCATGAGGTACACACACAAAGGGCTCGTGTGTGTTGCCGTGCTGCGTTGCTGGTGGGAGGCTGCCGAGGCAGAGCTACTTCCTGACTTCCTGCCGAAGGCTGACTGCCTATGGGTCAGCCACAGTGGTGCAAGATCCCTTCCAGAATTCTTATGAGGAAGGGAGGGTGAGGACAAGAGAGAGGAGGCAAGAGGGAGATGGGGAAAGGAAGAGGAAGAAAGAGGGATGAGAAGGTGAAGCAGAAAGAGGAGCTTTGTGTTGAGGGAAGGAGAGAAAGCGAGGAGGAGGAGAAGGGAAGTGAATGTACAGAGTGCCGGTGCCAGCAAAAGAAGCAACTGCCCCCTGCCCTTGACTTACCAGTTTCTAAACTATGAAAGGAGCCATGGTGGCATAGGGGGCTACTCACTGAACCGCTAACCACGAACGAGGACAGCAGTTCAAACCCCCCAACCACTCCGTGGCTGAAAAATGAGTCTGTTCCCATTAAGACTTTTTTTCTTCCAAGAGCCATTTGGATATTTATAATGTATTCGTGGGTCATAATGGTCAAACGTTTAACTAACTCACCCTTCATGTCATGACTGGAACGGCTTCTCTTTGGTGAGGCCTGTGATGTTAGCTGGTGTTGATGTTGCTACTTGAAACTGTGTTCCAGGGTTTGTGTCCTTACACTATTGACTGGGGCCATTTGGAGTACAATCAGCTCTTTGCGATGTTAAGTTTTGAATGGCTTGCAACAGTTAAGTTGTCCCAACACAGATGCATGTTTCAATGCATGTCTCCTCGAAGTGAGAACTTCATCACTGCTTATGTAATGTTTATAGAACTCAAGCAGTGGGAGGTTGTACCTAACTCTCAGCTTATCATAGCTTATCATTGCTTTACAGCTAAGTGATTTTTATCTCGTAGGTTAGCAAGCATATCCACTGGTTCCACGTTGAACGGTGTAGCAAGGATGCTCAATTCCATTTAATTTTCATGTCCTGAATCTTTAATTAAATGCCTCATTACTCTCACTCTCACACATTCACCAGCATATTCAAGCATTGTAGAAGGCTTTTTGTCCTTCCTGCGTGGAGAAATGCACCATGCTGTTCCTTTTGAGCTGGCTCAGTACAGCTTTACACGATTTCAGGGGTGATAGCAGGGAGCGGAGCAGCTGGTTGGGGCCCTGCAGCTTGACATTGTGCTCTGAGAGGCAGTAGGGAATGTCCACCGTGAACACTCAGTCACACAGCCACTTGCTCTCACTGGGTTCCCGCATCTCACGGACTGCTCGAGGTTCACAACCCTCATGAGCAGTTCCTGCGATTCAGCCACCACTTCGCAGTGATAGTCAAGATCATTCAGTAACGCCATCAACTGGTGGCTGTTCAGTCCTCTGCTTTTGACAAAATTTACGTAAGACAGTACTGTTGACATTACATTACTGAGCTACTGTGACTGAGCACAGAGACTTTCTTGGCATGTAATTAATCAGTTGGATCAAGACCGAGATGATTCATTTCTTTCTTGACAAATCCAATTAACCCTTTTTGTGAGCCAACCATGGCTGGAACTCCATCGGAAGTAAGGCTACTTAGCTTTTCAAATGTTAGCTCAAATTTTTTCATTGATAGAACAAGTCTCTCAAACAAGCCCTCACCTCTTGTATTGCCATGCCTGGCTGCCAGTGACAGCAGTTCCTCTTGAGTGTCAGACTCTGCAGTTTGTCTTGTCACAAACACGAGAGGAAAATTGGAAATCTCCTACAGCATCCTTCAGTGATTTTTCAGTATCTTGTGCTCAGTTAGTAATCCAGTCAGAGACGGTTTTCTGAGAGAAGCTAATACTTTGAGACAATTAATTTTACGTTGTCGGGTGCTGACAACTCCGCAGCAGCCAGCAGGCACTCTCAGGAGCCCTACCTCCACACGAGGCATCAGCTTCTTTGCAGTCGGCACGCCCACCGCATCTCGTCTGAATAATGTCTCTGGCACAACGAAGCCCAATGAAAGCGGCTGTTGTGATTCTGAAGAGCATTGCTGTTAGATCCAGACGCTGTGGCCGCCCAGTTCTTTGGGGTTAGCATGTTGTGAGTTGTAACGGTGTTCCAGATTGGCTTTTTTCATTACTGCCAACACTAGGCACACTGCTTTGCCCTTGACCTCAACAAACAACAACAGTTGTCTCTTTCTCATGGAAAGATCAACACGTTGTGTCAAGTTTTCTTTATTGTCACCATTTTGGAGGATGTTACACCACTTAAGTTTTAATCCTATCCAGTGTGCGTTGCTGTCGTAAGCGTCAGCCGCTCCGAGGGAGAAAGACAAGTCTTAGAGTTACAGTCTTGGAAACCAAGGGTGTTCTACCCTGTTCTGTAGCGTGCCCGTGAGTTGGAATCCACTTGATAGCAGTGAGTTTGGTTTGGTTTGGGGAATTTCCTTAACCTTCATCCAAGATTCAGTTTCTGTGAGGATTGTGGACCGTGTGTGTGTTGCACAGAAGATCGGATTGGAACAAAGAAGTCAACACCATCACTCATCGAAGGCAAGGTCTTCAGGGTCTGAAGGGATCATCTCATCACATTTCGTCTCCTCATCACAAGATTGTCGTAGTTTCCGCCACAGTGTGCTAACACTTTCACAATGTGTGCACTCCCAGCCCGCCTGGCATTGACTAGCCTCTGAGTCACGCAGCACTGGTAGACGGGCCGAGGGCAACTGAGAAGACACACACGTCTGCTCTATCATGTACTCATGTGTCCTGTCCATCCCGTAGTGGATGTTCCTTCCTTGTCCCTCAAAGTTTGTTTTTGTTATGGTCTACTGAATGTAACTTTATGTTGCTATTAGGAACGCTCCTAGATTTAGAGAATGTCAAGCCCTACCTGTGGCTGCTTTTGGCAATGCCAGCCATGCCAAATGATTTGCAGGCCTAACGTACACCAACCCTGATGTAAAGTCTTAGAACCCTGAAATGGGCAGCTCTGGCCTCTCACTCTGAGTTGCAATCGACTTGATGGCTGTGGGTTTGGTTTGGTTTTTGAGTTTAAACTCCAATTGAAAAGGAGTCTCTGGTGCACAGCGGTTAAGTGTTTCTGACCCACTAGCAACTGGCTCTGCAAGAGAAAGGATGGGATCACACGCCTCTGATGATCTAAGGCCATGTGTCCCAAAGTGGACAGTACTGCCCCCTGAGGGTCTGGAATGGCCCAAGGGGGCTGCAAATGCAGATACCTACTTTATCCTGGATTATAGGCTACAGTTTTTAATCAGCAGGGAGCACTGAGCAATTTTTTTTTCTGCCCTAAACAAGGGGCAATAGACCAAATAAGTTTGTACCTATGAGCTAAGGGAACCACAGAGCACTAGTAGCCACTTGCGGCCACCACCCCTCCTGTGAATTTTGTAATCTTTGGGACTATAATTTGCAGGTGGTAGGTGAGACTGGTCACACCCTTGGTGCCATTGAATGCATGGGTAACAGGAGAGAGAGCGACACTTCCTTTTTTTCTCAGGGAGCGTGGCACCTGGTGGAGTAGTGGTTACAAGTTGTGCTCCTAACTGCAAGGTCAGCGGTTCGAAACTACGAGCTTCTCTTAAGGGAGAGAGAGGAGCTTTCTACTCCTGTAAAAATTTATAATCTCAGAAAGCCACAGGGACAGTTTACCCTGTATAGACTGACTACGAGTTGGCATCAACTCGATGGCAGTGAGTAATTTGAGTTTGCTCAGGAAGTGAAGGCTTAGTTCCCAGAAAGTCTAAGAAGGATTAAATTTGGGGTGGGGGGTCACCATTACCAAGATAGGACAGTTGGAGTGACTCCTCCAGGATGTGTGTGAACAAGAGAAGTCCACATATGTGCTTGACACAATGGATGTATGTAGGGATTGTGATAAGAATTGTATGAGCCCCCAATAAAATGATTTTTTAAAAAAGAGAGAGAAGTCCTGTCCCCGTTTTTTTCAAGTCTCTGGGTCTTGGTCCCCTCTAACAAAGCACGGTATCCAGTTAGTGCTGAGAGCTGTTGGCAAGTAATGGAAAGTAACAGGGTGTGTGGGGGTGGGGGGTGACAGGTTACACAGTATCAGTTTATATCTAGGTTCTCAGCTGTGTTTCAACTTCATTGCTAATACCTTGTTTTCATTGTATTGTCTCAGTCAGCCTTCCAGCCCTGCACAATCCCAGCTCCGTCCAGTTCTATGCTCTTTGCATTCTTAATACTACAGCGTTACTGAGATGTGCGATATCTGCTGTACTTTTCATCCATTGAAATTGTAATTTT